GGATGGTGTCAAAGACATATGGGAAGACTTGTATGAACTGATAGAGAGGGAAGTGAATAGAACCAGAACATAAAATTTATATGGTAACAACATTATAAAAACGAACAACTCTGATTCTAGAAGGCCAATAATGAAGCATGTGATGCAACTTCTGAAACAGAGGTGACAGACTCAATATTCAGAATGAGATGTACATTTAGACATGGCCAACGTGGGGATTTGTTTTGTTTAACTGTATGTTTGTCATGAGGATTTTGTTTTAATTTTCTTCCAGTTTGGGGGTGGGGGGAAGGGGGAGGAGGGTGAGAAAATAAATGCTTGGAAATTGAAAAATATTAATAAAACAATTCTCACTTTGAGTTCAAAGACGGGTTAGTGGGTATGCAATGGGATATTTTCAGAAATTACCAAACTTGCAAACTCTCTCTGTCTCCATCTTTACCCTGTAGTAAAACCAGGGAAATTTTCATCTCCTCCCTTGGGATGGTGTTCTCTCTGTCAAGCTTGAACCACAAATTTATAGGCTCAGACAAAACCACCATTAATGGCTGTATAATTTATTAGCACTATCAAGTAAAAGAAAAGCATACAAACATTCCAACAAGATAGAGAAAATTTTGATGGGGCTCACAGCTCAAGTCACTTATCCCCTCTCCTGTCCTCTCTCAGGCAGTCTGAGTGGCTATGGTTAAGAAGTGAATTTAGATCTAGATCCAGATCCTGGGTCGGAATGTCCACAGTGCTATGCTCTGGAAAATCTGTGGAAAGCAAGAAGCTGTTGGCGTGATTTCACCCCCACCAGCTGCCACAACTGCCAGCTCAGTCTGGTCTCAGTGCCAGCATATGCCTGTTCCCATAGGAGTCTTTAATCTTCTTGATCTCTATTCTACAAACTCTGCTTGCTGTTACTCAGGCCTCTCCATCTCCCCTACTTGATGCCCCAAAACTTGGTTAAAAGTCCCTTTCTCGGGGCAGCTAGGTGGTGCAGTGGATTGAGCACCAGCCCTGAAGTCAGGAGGACCTAAGCTCAAATCCGGCCTCAGACCAAACAGTTGATACTTACTAGCTGTGTGACCCTGGGCAAGTCACTTTACCCCAATTGCCTAAAAAAAAAAAGTCCCTTTCTCAAGTCTACAACAACCCCAAACAACCTGAACCTTCCTCAAAGCCTGTTAATGGCTAGCCCAAGGAGTCTTTATCATCCCTGAAAGGTCCTCTGTGATCCTTGGTCTTGGAAACCTGGAACTATGTATTATCTGTACTCATGAAGGTTACATACATTCTAATTGGGGGAGGTGAAACTTTGCAAAGTCAGAGCCTCATTTTCCTTATCAGCACAACTGGGCAGGGTTCATAACCTCTCTGAGTGGGGCTAGTTTCCCAGTGAAGCATAGCTCTATCATGTTACAAATCTCTACCCCACTCAAAGCTTGGACTTTACGCGATAGCCATGGGGGAGCCACTCAGGATATTTAGGTAGGGATGAGCAGAGGTGCACATGAGATTATTCTGGCTGCTTGTGCAGGATAAACTGAAGAATAGAAAGGTAAAGAGAGATTGTTTAAGAAGCCATTGCAATAGTCCAAGTGAAAGCTAGTGAAGTCCTGAGCTAGACGGTGGAGTCATTTATTCAGCTACTAAAATTCCAGCTCCTTCATGAAGTCTGTCCTGATTGGTGTCAGAAGAACTGACACCTCATGGATAAAGGAACTAGGTGGCCCAGTGGACAGAGTACTGAACCTTAAGTCCAAAAGAACTGCATTCAAATCCAGCCTCAGATACTTAGTAGCGATATGATACCGGGCAAATCATTTAACCTCTGTCTGACTCAGTTTCCTCCACTCTAAAATGAGGATAATAATAGCATCTACCTCTCAAGGTTATTGTGAGTATCAGATAATATTTGTAAAGTGCTTGGTACAGTGTCTGGCACATAGCAGGCACTTAATAAATATTTCCTTCATAGCCTTAGTATAGGGATTCTTAACCATGTTTTTGTGTGACACAGACCCCTTTGCAATTTAATGAAGCCTATGGAACCCTTCTCAGAATAATTGTATATTATATATCTATAATATATGATAATTGTATATAATTATCATGAATATAACACATAAATATATCACAAATATAATATTTATATAACAAATTTATATATACATATATGTATGTAAAGGGGCAGCTAGGTGGCTCATTGGATAGAGCATTGGGCCTGGAGTAAGAAAGACCTGAGTTAAAATCTCTCCTCAGATACTTACTAGCTGGCTATGTGACCTTGGTCGAGACACTTAACCTCAGTTTGCCTTAATCCATTGGAGAAGGATATGGCAAACCACTCCAGTATTTTTGCCAAGAAAACTCCACAGACACTATGGTCAGACAAGTCTGCACTATTGAACAACATATATATGTATATGTGAATAGATAATGTATACATTATATAATATTTATGCATATAATTGTGCAACATGTTTCTACATAAAACATATTTATAAGTTTTACTATTAATGTAATTATTTTATATTAATAATATAATACCCTGACATATAACTATTTACATATGCAATTATATATATTTATATATTACATGTGTATATAATATAGGATTACAAATTACAAATATTCAAATTAGAGATGTAATTTTTTTCCTATCCAAGTTTATGGACCCCCTGACATCTATTAATGGATACCCTGGGGATCTCTGGACTTCTAGTCTACTAGAACATGCCCCAGACTGGGAGTCAGGACAGAACTGGGGTCAAATTCTACTTACTATTTATGCCATGGGCAAGTCACTTAACTTCCCAGCCTCAGTTTCCTCATTTGTAAAATGGGACAATAATAGTACCCACCTCACTGGATTGTTGCAGAGATTAAATGCATGTAAAGTACCTATCATTATTGTCTCCTCCTCACCACTGAAGTCACCCTGCCTATCACTAGTGCGTTGCACATCATTCAACAATAACAACCTCAGTTCCCTAAGCATCTATCCCAGGAAGGCCCCTGTGATGTATGCAGTGGGAAGACAAAGATCTCAACTTTAGGCTTCAGTTATCCCATCCATAAAGAGAGAGTGTTTTAGCTAGCAAGCTAGACAGAGCACTTATGAAGTCCTTACTATGAGCCAGGCACTGTGCTAAGTGCAAGGGGCTTCAAATACAAACAAGCAAGACAGTCCTGCTTTACAGGACCTTACCTTAGAGTGGTGAAAACCACCAGGAAATAGAGCTAGAAAGTAGGGAGGGAGGGGTCAGGCATGCAGCAGCATATGGAAATGGCCAAGAAGTGGTGTGGAAACCTGGTTCTAGGCAACATAAGGTAAAAGCTCACCCTTCAGAACCCAAGGGGCAGAGTCCAAGGTTCCAGTAAGGAAGGGTAGGGGGGATGAGGATGATAGCCTCAATATGGGCAGCACAGTGTAGAGAAAAGGTTCTTTTCATCTCCAAATCCTGTGACCGAAAATATCTGCCTTCAAGGCACTTATATTCTATGGAGGTTGAATGTATGAGAAGAGGAGAAGAGGACTTTTTGGATTATCTAATCCAAGCTCCTCATTTTCCAGATTAGGAAACCAAGGCCCAGAGAGATGAGTTTATCTGTCTAATGTCACACAGCTAGCGAGTAGCAGGGCTAGGATATGAACTGAAAAAGATACAGATCTGTATAACACAAAGCAGGATGTGGTATATGCTTAAAAGAGACATAAACAATTTATTTCAAGGACAGAGAGAGAGAGAGGCTGGGGGAGGGGTTGGATATCGTATTATGATGAAACTGCATATACACTTGGGGTCCTGTGGTGCAGTCTCCATTGTCTTTCGTGCTTACTTTCTTAAGCCTGCAGAAAGGTAATGTGCCCATGTATTAAGCATCCAATGAGGAAGTGTCATATCTGAATTGTCCACCATGTGGCACTATACTTAAGATACCAACCAAGTAGTTTTATCATTGGTATGCAAATGCCAAAGCTAGCCTTTCTCATGGCCAAGCTGAGCCAAAGTGGAAAAACCCTATGCTGGATGGGTTCTGACTTTAGACTAGAAGATGATGAAATGTCACCCAAAAAGTTAAAATATGAAATCCACAGTTTGCACATAGCTCAGAGCCCCACCCTGCATCTGGACTTTTCCTTTCTCAGTTTGAATATTGTCCTCCTACCTACCTGCAATTAGCAGGACACAAGCATCAGACTACAGACTCACAGTTTATCTAACTAAACTGTTGAGAATGCAAGGAAAGAGGTTTTTAGCTCTGCTGCCTGGGGTACCCTACCTTCTAACTGCCTCCTTGCTCTTGCACTTTCAGGCTGCCAGAAGAAAGAATTCTGAAGCTCTCCTAGCAGCCCCTGATTCTGGGAAGATACAAAGGGAGGGGAAGGATTGAGTGTCTGATGACCTCAGGATCATGACTGTAACTGAGGGTAGACAGAAGAGAGGTGAAAAAGTCTCCCCACGTTCTTTCTTGCTGATGAGGTTTACATATGTTGCAGTCCCTGGTCATTAATTCAGTTTCACCTCTAAACTGGTCATTTTGCTCTCTGGGTTTCCCTTGCCCACTGGACTCAGCATTGGTCCCTGTTGCTGCAGGTGGAGCCCTACCAGGGTAGCTAGATGGTGAGATGGGTAGAGTGTCAGCCTTGGAGTCAGGAGGCCCTGAGTTCGAATCCGGTCTCAGGCACGTACTAGTTGTGTGACCCTGGGCAGGTCACTTAATACTGTTTGCCTCAGTTCCTCATCTGTAAGATGAGCTGGAGAAGGAAATGACAAGCCACTCTAGTATCTTTGCCAAGAAAACCCCAAATGGGATCACAAAGAGTCGGATACAACTGAAACAACACAACGGTAGAGGCTTGGGACATGGCTGCTGGTAACAGAGCAGTCTGACCCCCAAAGTCTGCTGACTCCTGGAAGCAGTAAGCCTCAGTTTCCCTGCAGTGGCTCATGGCACCCTTGCACTTCTAAAGACTAACAGAAAACTTGTCTTAAGAATGAAGAGAAAGGATGGGAAAAAACCAATCAAGGACACCAACATCCAGACCTCAGTTCCTTCCTCCTACCCTGGGGCTTCCTGTGTCTGAGGCAGTATCACCTCCTCCTTTTCCCCCTCTCAAGCGGTTTCTTGCTTGTTGTGACAATTCCACGGTGGCCGTGGTCAGCAACACTCTGCCAGCACTTTCAGTCCTCCGATTATCATCACCCGGGGCCCTGAGGTACGTAACAATCCAGACAGACATTGCATAGATGAATTTGGCCCTGTACATGTGCCAAATACTAGACCTTTCACATAGTCTTTAAGGTCGGTGAAAGATCTGTCCTTGGCCACAGTTACCAAGGTCAGCATTGCACAAATCAGCTGAGCAGGTAAAGTGGGGCCCAGCACCCTCCGCTGGCTTGCTCTCAGTTTGCCTCCTCTGTCTTTTCCTCCTTCCTCCTCTGCCCCAGGGCAGTCCTGTGCCTCATTATCTACGTGGATAACTCCCAAATCTCTAGCTCTACCCATATTCTCCCTAGAGCTTCAGTCTCCTATTTCCTGCACCCAGCTCTCCATCTCCACAAGGATGTCTCACCAGCATTTCAAACTCAAGACATCTGAACTGGACTCGTCACATTGCTCACCACCTGTACCACTCACAACAACAATAAATAACACAACAGCAGCAGCAAAACCTGGCTTTGATCACGACTTCTCTCCCAGACACTGAGGCTCTAAACCCCAGTCATCTTGGACTCAGACATGTCCCCCTCATTTCTCTCTCTCCCCAGGCCCACTCCTTATTCAGTCCTCAGCAATATCTTCCAGTTCAATCTCCTACCCATTCAGAGGGCTATCTCTCTAGCCAGGTTCTTATTACCTCTTGGCCAAGCTTATAGTTGCGGCTTCCTAAACTAGTCTCTCTTTTACTCTCCATTCCCTCCTTAATATCCATGCCAAAGTAATCTTTTATTAGACTGCTCTGATCACCTCATTCCTGTTCTCAAAAACCTTCAGTGGCTCCCTAATGGCATCCCTAAAAGATCCAAATATGAACCCCTTACACCAGCACTTATGGCTCCCCTTCATCTGTCTCTAACCTACCTTTCTAGTCTGCTTGCCTCTCTGAGAGCTAAGACTCAAGTTGGACTGGAATGACCTCTCTGGTCTCCAGGAATTTATGCAGTTTTCCCTCATGCTTAAAAAAGGATCCCCAAGGGGCAGCTAAGTGGCACAGTGATAGAGCACCGGCCTTGAAGTCAGTAGGTCCTGAGTTCAAATCCAGCCTCACACACATAACACTTACTAGCTGTATGACTCTGGGCAACTCACTTAACCCCAATGGCCTTGCCAAAAAAAAAAACAACAAACAAAAAACAAAAAAGGATCCCCAACTCCCCATTTATTGAACTCCCCACTTCTTTCAAAATCCTGGCCAGCTACCACCTAAAGTTTCCCCATTTCAAGTAATCCTTCTTTTTGCCAGTCTCTTACCATTTTCTGTTTTGATATCTCCTAAAGCACTTAAAACATCTTTTTTAAAAAAAATTTTTAGGCCTGGATTTGAACTCAGGTCCTCCTGACTTCAATTTAGGCCCCATTAAAACATCTTTAGCATATGTTCTAGTCATTGTACACATGTCCTAACCTCCTACCATATTGCAAATTTCTTTAGAAAAATGCCACCTTTCATCTTTGTATGTCCCCAAATGCCTAGAGGTAATTAATAAATATTCACTGAACTGAATTTCATTATTCTCAACAGGCTGTCAACTAATCCTCTTGTGGGTGTTAGCCAAGAATGGCTTAAGGTCTTGCCACCTTCAGATATAGCTCCATTGAAACTGGAAAGGTTTTTTTCCGAAAGAGATGAGATCTACAATGGTGGAATTTCAGGCACTGTGACAGTGAGTATACAGGTAGCAGGAAGACAGACTCCCCATTCACTCCTACCTGATTCTGCCTCTTGCTATAAGATAGTGCAAAGAAAACTGAACTGAACTTGGGGTCAGAGGACCTGGGTTCAAGACCGAAATCTGTCACTTAAGATGACCCAATTATTTCACCTCTATGAGCCTCAGTTTTCTTAGCTATAAAGTAAGGATAATAATTTTTGCACTTTGTTGTTGGAAAAGCACACTGTAGGCTGTAAATGTTACATTTAATATGTAAAGCCATTATCATTACTGTTGCTGTTGTTGTAAGCTGTAAACATTACATTTAATATGTAAGCCATTATTATATTGTTATTTGTATTAGCCTGAAGTGATCCTGAGCAATTCAAAGAGGTCACAAGAACAGAGATCACAGTCAAATAATGGTGGTCCCAATCCCATAGACCAGATGCAAACAAAGAGGTGTAGGTTCTCATGCCCATCATCACCAGGGAGATAAGCCCAAAACATTTGCCCAGGTATAGGCAGAGACTCAAAGAACTGGGTGGAACCTCCCCTCCCTCCCTGACAATGAACCAACACCAGTCTACTGGGGCAAGTGAGCCGTGTTCAGACTGAGATAAGAAAGTAGAATTTGGTAACTTCAGTGATCAGACTCTAGGAAACCCTGTTGCTGTGCAATATCAACATGTCATCGAGTAAGTGTTAATAATAGAGGAGCCCTGGCAACTTAGAGAGAGTGGAGGTTTGTGAGGGAGGCTGAAACCAATCCCTCTTTGGCTCTAATCAGAGAGGGCGGGACTGTGTAGTATCTGTGTCACCTGCCTGGGGAGTCAATGGGCTAAGTGAGCCTCTAGGAAGATGAGGTTGCGAGCAGGTAAATCTTGCTAAATCTCTGGGAAGTTTTCCCTCAAGGCCCAGCTCAAATACCACCTCCTCTGAGAAGCCTTCCTCCACCATCCCATACTTGATCTCTCCTTCTCTAAGTCATTTTGGCATTTCTTTGCACCACTCACATGAAGCCCTTGTCTTTCATCAATAATTGCTGTTGTTATTCAGTTGTTTTCAGTCATGTCCAACTCTTCGTGATCCCATTTGGGGTTTTCTTGGCAAAGATACTGGAGTAGTTTGCCATTCCTTCTCCAGTGTATTTGATGGATGGGGAAACTGAGGCAATTAGGGACAAGTAACTTGCTCAGGGTCACATAGCTAGTATCTGAGGCCAGATTTGAAATCAGGAAGACTCATCTTCCTCACTTCAGAGCTGGCACTCTACCCATTGCACCACCTAGATGCCCCTTTAATCAATAATAGCTGACGTATATGGCACTAAGCTTTACTGAGCCCTTTACCTCACTTGATCCTCACAACACCTCAGTGAGACAGGTAATGTGAACATTATTACCCCCACTTTACAGATGAGGAAACTGAGGCTTTGAGAGATTAAATAATTTGCTTGAGGCTACTTTTTCAGTTAATGGCAGAACTAATTCCAACCCAGGTCTTCTGATTGTCAATTGGGCCTCTTTTGACTATATCATGTTGCTCTGTGTTCTAGCACGCCTTTTCTTGTCTGTACATCTTATCTCCCCAAAGCAGCTGGCATGAAGCACACTTTGGATACGGATTGAGATAAGCATTGTTCATAGCTCCCCTTAGTTGATGAAAATCCTTCCAAGGAATGATGGGAATAGTTTTTCAAAAGGAAACCCCACATACCTGATAAATCATCTCTTTTCTCTCCTGCATCCTCCTTTTTTTGTCCAAAAATCTGTTTTCTTTTGTTAAGTCACTCCCTTGCTATTTTATTACTACTTCAAATCTAGCTTTTCCTAAATAAAATTATAATCATTCTTAATTATTTTGGTCTTTATTTTAGCACAGAATGTAAATGGTTGGGGAAAATGTCAGTAACTATCTGAATACACAGATTTTTATAAGTTAGGGATTCTTATCTCTGCCCTGATGATTAAAGGTCAGTCTAGTCTAGATTTTACGATCTTATTAATATGTATTAATAAATTCCTAGGACATAGAAGCAAAGAGCAGAGAAAAAAATAATACCAAATGAACCTTCACTTGTAATCAGCAAGCATGGCTGTGGAAGATGAAATTGACTAGCTGGTGCTCACTCTTTTTTATCTTTATCTCTTCTGGAAAGGAGCAAACAGGTCCTCCCAAACCATGCCTGTCTTCACCTCTCAGGACTGGCATTGGGTGCAGCCTCCCCTTTTGACACTACCCTCTCCTCCCTTTCATTCTTCCCAGACTTCCTAGCATCAAGGAAATGGGGAGGCTCCTGCCTTAAAGTTCAAAGCAATTCCATTGCTTTGATAAAAAGATAAGATCACAGTTTCAGCCTAGGGGCATTTTTTTCTTGCCCACAGTCCATGTGAGTTCTTTTCTCTGATATTTTCAGAAGTTTATTAAAGCAGATTATTAATAAAATTATAAAAAGTTAGAGCCCCCAGACTAGAATCATCAGGCCAGAGATGAGAATCTCTGACCTATAAAAATATATGTATTCAAATAGTTATTGCTATCCCCATTTACACTTTTTCTGTACAGAAATTGACAAAAAAAAAATTAAGAATTGTTGTAATTCCTTTATCTAGGGAAAGCCAGCTCTGAAGTACTAATAAAACAAAAAAGAATGGCTCAGCAAAGGAAATAGAGACTTGGAATTTAAATCTCTACTGTTTTGGACAGAAAAAAAGGGGTAGAGAAGAGAAATGAGATGATTCATTTGGTGCTTGGGTTTTTCTTGGGAAAAATCAGTCCCCTCCTTCTTTAGAAGGATTTTCATTAAATAAGTGGAGCTGTGAGAATTGGCTTCTAGTTGCTTAAAGTCAGTCCCCACTCAAAGTGTTCTTCAACCTGGCAGCTACTTCACTTCTCTTTATTCCCACTCTAACCCTATTCCAAATTCCTGGGACAGAATGACCTCACCTAGTCCAGTCCAGTCCCAAACTGCATGATAGACTCCATTTCTTCCAGGAAAAGAATGCTATTTCTTTAAAAAAAAATTTTCATTCAAAGAAATGGCATTCTTTTCCTTGAAGAAAAGGGGTTGTCAAGATATTAGGAGCTAAGGCCCAACAAACAAGCTGTGCCCTGAGCTTGGCATAACAACAATCCTTTGTGCTCACCCTCTGGATGATCTCAGTTGCAGCAAAATCCCAGAATTATTTCATATAATAATTGTATTGCTTTGACCAGCACCAGGTCTTTTTTGAGCTTGGACAAGCACCTGCTGTATCCATGTATCCACCGTCATAAAGCCTGGCTAGGAATCAAACTTGTCACACTGTTGCTGTTGGCCCTCATCATCTGGGCTACAATTCACTGCGCAGCCATAGGTATAAGTAGAGATCTGCCTACACTAACACAGGTCCCCCCACTAGGGGCGCAGGGCTCTGGCATGTGTCCTTGCTTGCAAGCTATTTCCCTCATTTTGAAATTAAATTTCTGTATGATTCCTGACTCTCCTGTCTCTAGCTTGCTCTGTTCAGCTCCTGCCACCCACAGGTTAGAGGCCAGTTCCATCCGGCTGACGGTCTATTATGCAGTTTGGGACTGCACTGGACTAAATGGGATCATTCTGTCTTAGGAATTTGGATTTTCCAGGGGCCACTCTCGATGGTTTGTTATGCTTTTCTTCAGTAAACATGAGTCAGTGCTAGGTGATGGAGATTAAATGTACACACACACACACACACACACACACACACACACCCCTACCTCTAAACTTGCCTTACCCTCAAGGAGTTTACTTACTTACTGAGGGAAATACACATAGAGAGAGAGATATATAACATATTCTCCACAAAGAGGGAAATCACAATCTATGGAGCTTAACAGATTCCAGATGTTACTTACCTAAATATATTTCTGCAATGTGAGCCACTCAGGGCCCCACAGACCAAAATTTAAAATCTCAGGTATGCAAAATAAATACAAAGTAATTTCTAGAGGGGCAGGGGTCATGGGGGTGTTGGGATAGGTGGCATACTACATGAAGAAAAAAAAACCAATGAAAATGAATGGCACGAATGTGGTCATAGTAATCTTAAAATAGGATGAGATGTCATGGAATATTATAAAATATGCAGGAGAAATAAAAGAAAAAGACAAAGTTGTAACAGCTTTTTGTGGCTTACTAACAACTACAAGGAATAGAAATATTATGATGATAAGACATGGAGCCTACTTTAGCTACGTGGGGGCAGCTAGGTGGCACAGTGGATAGAGTGACAACCCTGAAGTCAGGAAGACTCAAATTCAAAATCTGGCCTCAGACATTTAGTAACTATGTGACCCTGGGCAAGTCACTTAACCTTGTTTGCCTCCGTTCTTCATCTATAAAATGAGCTGGAGAAGAAAATTGGGACAAATCACTCCAATATCTTTGCCAAGAAAACCCCAAATAGGGTCACAAAGAATTGGACATGACTGAAAATGACTGAATGACAAAATTAACTATATGGACTGAAGATTGTAATCAAAAGTTCATTCCTGGGGGCAGCTAGGTGAAGCAGTGAATAGAGCACCAGCCCTGAAGTCAGGAGGACCTGAGTTCAAATGCAGCCTCAGACACATAACACTTACTAGCTGTGTGACCCTGGGCAATTCACTTAACCCCATTGCCTAACCAAAAAAAGAAAATGGTTGGATCAATTCACAACTCCACCAACAATGCATTAGTATCAGCACAGAGTTTTTAATAACAGAACTAAAATTCCCATGTCTTTTATTCCTCTGGTCCAGACTCATGAACTGAAAGAATTCAAAGGAGTTGAGGTTTTCCTGCTGAAAACCATTTGGTCAAGAGCAAGATTTGAAGTTGTCCATAGTTCTCATCAGACTCTGGTAATAAAGTATCTGCTCCTGCTGCCTGGGTCAGTTCCGGATGTTCCAGTGTACTGGGGGGTACCTGCTGCTCATATTGTTTACTTGATTCCTGATAATGATTATCTCCCCTTTGGAATTCCTTATCAGAGGATGAGAGAGGTTGAGAAAATAAAGAGAAGAAAAATAAAGAACATAAAGTACCAGTAAGATTCTTCTTATTCTATCACACCAACTTCTGATCCTGTGGCAAAAAAGATCATTGTGATCCCACAGTGGGGAAGGGTAATCCTTTTCCCACACCAGGATCTCAGAATCTTCTCCTCAGACTTCTTTCTCTATGGATCATTTTCTCACTCCTTGAGGGTCTCCCCTGGGACAAGAGGTTATAGAGCAGGCCTGACTCGCTAGTCTCCTACCTCAGTTTCAAGATTAGAACAAAATGAGACACTGGAAGAACACCTGACAGTTATAAAAGGCTATTGACTTAGCCACAGCAGGAGAAGGATATTCAGAGCAGGAAAGGATATTCAGCGAGGACAGAGCATTGTTTCAGTTGAGCCCAGATTCCCTGTTACCCGTGTTGGTCAAGCTGGTCTGCTGGTCAGAAGCCTATGGGAGAAGCCAGGTGACTTCTTATGCCTGTAACCCACCAGAAGTGACATCAGTGGTCCAAGACCGTGGTCCCCTGAGGCAATTAAATCTCAAAGATGGCTTCACTTTGAAGTAAAAACTAGCCTGACCTGCATGGGGTAGTGTCTTAGGATATTGCTCTTATCTTTGAGATTCCTGTCTGAAATTGGATTTACCCAAGTCTCTCTCAAAACCAAGTTCTGCATACACTCCATGCTGCTGATCTATAAAGTATATGTCTATTTTGGGGAGGGAGGAGTCCGGACCTGAAATGTGCATATATTTATTAAAATTTTCAATAAACAGAATAAAATTTTATCAGCCTTTCTTTCATTCTTTCCTTTTATCATTGAAGAGAACACAGGTCCCCATTAATGTTATCAGTTTATGCAATGCCCTCTTATCTCCCTCAAATTATTATTCTGCCCTAGTGCACAGGGTAATGGTACATGAGATACAGAAGGAAGAATAATAGAGTGCTGATGACAATCATCATACTTTCCTCCTCTCCCTCATCAGGAAAAATCAGTACTATACTGAACATATGCTCAGAACAGAACAAAGCCATCCAGTAGGAGAACAGGCTCTCCCTTCCTTTGTGCTTGAGAGAGTTAGCAGTCATTCTTTTCAGAAACAAGGAACAGAGAGATGGACAGCTGCTAGGGGGACCCTCTTGGCAATAGTCACTATTTGCTGATGTTATGACCTAGAGTGAAAGTGGAGATGGGAGAATTGAAACTGACCCTTAAGAGAAGATCAGTGCTGTGGAGGTTGAAGCCCTAGGGATGGCAGGGAGACCAAAGAAATGCAGAGGTGAGACCTTGGCCAGAAATCAGACCAACAGTCAAAGTGGTCACTAGCACGTGAGGCATTCCAAGCCCAGAGAGCAATTTCTGAAAATCTCAGCAGCTAGAGAGGACAGGAGACCCATCTATCTCCTAGAACTTCTCATTTTTCTCTCTTGCTCTTCCTCTTTAAGTCTGAGACCCAGAGTTGAGTCCTGGTCAGAAGCACCATTCCCTTTCCATGACCAATGAGTATGGAAGGAGGTCCAACGATATGGTCATGAGGAATGTTCACATCGGTATGCTGAATTTTTTTCCTTACGTTCTTGACATGTTAAACTGATACAGAAAGTTGATGTACTATGCAATAAACATATAGACTAAGGTAGATTTCTAATATGCAGGATGGGGGAAGAAACCAAAGAGATTTTCTAATTTCTGTAGTTAGTTTTGAATAGTATTTTATATCAACCCCTAGGCTAAAATCCAGAACTGCTCAGCTAGAATTTTTGCCCAGTCAGAAGGAGTTATGCACCTGGAAGGTTGAGGAAGGGAGACTCCTGCACACAGGTTAGAGAGGACTTTTTGCACATGTATCAGAGAGACTTGCAAAATCATTGGGTTGGTGGCTCAAGGTACAGTGACCCTGCTAATCAGCTTAGTGTAATAATGAGGTGATTGATTTACTCAATCCCATTTACCTAAAAAAAGTGATAAAATGCTCAATCAACCTCACTAATAAGCCTTAAACTAAGTGTGAAAAGTCTTTGAAAGCCATTTTATAAAGTGCAATGATGCTAGACTGGAAGTCTGTTCCAACTGGCTAAGGATTTTGATTTAAATTTTTCTAAATTCTATATAAAATCATTCAACTAGCTGGAATCAAGAAGTTCCAGCAGTGGTGATCAGGTGAGAGCATTTTAGCATGCCTATAAGGCAGAAAAGGGAAACTGAGGATTATAGGCATCTTGAAGCAGAAGAACTTCAAGGAAGGTCTTTCTTTCCATGTGCTTATCTACAGGTGCTATGATATAATCTTTTGTTTTTTAATGAAACCTTTCTAGTAAACCAAATTTCGCCTAAACCACAAAGACATGAATTAAAAGAATAATTTTTAACTAAAAAACCAAAATTAAAATAAATTAAAAAAAAAAAACACACGCACAGAAAGAGGCTAGGGATTACTGGAAATAAATATCAGTTTAGAGTTAGGCAGAAAGCCCACACACTACCTAAATGCTAGGAATTTTCCTAACTGGGGACTCTGAGGGATTGAAATTGAACTCATAACTTTTTGTCTAAAATAAATCCCTAAAGTGGAAAAGGACATAAGCCACACAGACCTTAAGGATCATTCTGCTCCTTGGGTTAAAACGAGCTATTTATTGTAGCAGAGTGGATCATGTTTGGATAGAAGTTCTTGTATTCCTTCCAGGGCCCTCTCCTGGGCTGTTGTAGAGTACTGAAGCTGTAGGTTCCCTAAAGAGGTCACACTCCCCTGAGACTGCCCTTCCTCGGAGTAGCTAGCTTGTTTTATCTCAGCTCCTGGCTGGAAGCATTGTTAGGGGTCCGGGCTCTCAGATGACAATCTGAGGTGGGGGAGGGTGAGAGCATCCCACTCTCTCTGGGCTCCTCCTCCAGTTCCTCCTTTGGTTACAGATACAAGGTCTGCCTCCTCCAAAGATTAAGTCTCAGCTAGAGCTTAATTCCACAGCAACTGTTTGCTGGAATCTTCTTCTCTGATATACATAGGCAAGAAAGTGAGTCTAATTTGTTCAACCAGCCCTAATTCATTTCATCATCTGATTCTATTCAGGCTCAAAATGCTTCACTCTTTCCCCATTCAATTAACTAGTTTGTTTGCACTTAAGTTGTGCCTTTGACTGGACAACTGATTAAAAAAGGTATCTAGGAATCATCCACAACTAGTTTACACATTTGACTGACTAATTCAATCACTTGATAAAGATATCAGGGCATAGAGCACCTGTTAGTTACATTATTTGAGGTCATTGTTGTTGAATGGTTCAGTCATGTCCAGCTCTTCATGATCCCATTTGTGGTTTTCTTGGCAGGGGTCCTGGAGTAGTTTGCCATTTCTTTCTCCAGCCCATTTTACAGATGAGAAACTGAGGCAAACAGGGTTACGTGATTTGCTCAGGGTCACACAGCTAGTCTGAGGCCACATTTGAACTCAGGAAGATGAGCCTTCTTGACTCCAAGCCACCTAGCTGCCCCTATTTGAGGTTAGGAGGGTAATACTTGTAACACTCCCCTGTTGGTTAATTAATAAAATGATACACTGTCTTACAGGAGGCTTTTTGAAGGGAGCACACAAACTGGTTTAGACTAAAATTACTACCATAGCACTTCAAGCATCACATAGGATCTTCCATCCCCAAGTGTGCACATAATTTACATTTATGACACATTTAAGAAATTATATTGAAAGAAATATATCAGGGGTTGTGTATTTCTCATAATCCTCATGATTTCTGGGAATATCTCTACTCCCTGCCCCTCCCCCCCAGCTCTAGAAGAAACACTTTTTTTCCCCTGTAAATTTATTTTAGTTTCTAACATTCACTTCCACAAGATTTTGAGTTCCAAATTTTCTCCCCATCTTGTCCCTCCCCCCACCCCAAATACCCCTTCCCCTAATCTGCCCTCCCTAGAAGATACATTCTTGAAGGAGGTGGGGAATGTTTCTCTTTTTGTCTAAACTCAGCTGTGTTTTAGAATCTGATCAACAGAAGGAGCCAGGGCTCAAAAAGAAAACCAAAACAAAACAAGGAAAGGGGCAGCTACGTGGCGCAGTGGATAGAGCACCAGCCCTGGAGTCAGGAGGACCTGAGTTCAAATTTGACCTCAGATACTTACTAGCTGTGTGACCCTGGGCAGTCGCTTAACTCCAATTGCCTTAAAAAAAAAAAAAGGAAATATGGGGCAGCTAGGTGGTGCTAGCTCAGGAGGACCTGAGTTCAAAAAAAAGAGGGAAATCCCAGGAAGAGGGGAAGGGTGGAGATTGGAAGCTTCTCAGTGAAGTGATCCACTGATTTAGGTCTTCTGGAAAGTTTGGGCTGGACTGCTCTGGGCAGGGGCTGAGGGCTGGGAAACCCAATTCACTCATTCTCAAAGTCCTTGCCTCACATAGGGGAAGGACTTAACTCCTCTTCCTTCTCATCCTTTTCCTACTTCTTGCTTAGGGTCCCAGCCACTTCCTGGAGTGTGATGAGGTTGGGACAGTGATAAGAATTTGAAGTTAGCTGGTGTGCTTGATCCTTCTCACTAATTTCTGACGAATTCAAGACGCAAGAAAGGGCTAGAAACTGAACAATTTCTTTACTTTGATTGTTATCACTGCTCAATGATTCCTCCCTGACAGCAGTTAGCAAAACAAATAAGTTTTCAGCAGGAATTTTTCAATCTATAAACACTCTTAAAGAACTGTCTTGACATTGCCCTCCAGATTTTTTTATTTTTTAGAAATCGACTAGTTTGTTTTCTAATTTGGAATGTTCTGCCTTTAAACATGGAGAAAATTTTACTGGCTTCCTGCTTTCATTCTGACAAAATTCCTTCATAAGTGACATAATGCAAGCTCTTCTGATTCTTCCAATCCAAGCTCACAAAACCAAATTTTTGAACAATCTGTGTTATATAAACTATTTGGTTCTGTTATTTTTGCAAATAAAACCATTCACTGTGCTTTATTTTAAAATTCACCTTATATTTCAATAGTGTTTATGTAGACACAGAATAGTGATAGAAAGGCCCCAAAATATCTAGCAG